CAAAACTAAACAATCTGGCAAAAAAAAAAAACTACACAATGCATTTGTTAAATTTGGTTTTAAATACATTGTTTATGTTAAATCTTAGATGTTGGTGAGTGGTGACTTAAACTTAATGGATAGGTATGCTTGTTATAATAGAATCTATCTTTTTGGTAATTTAGTTTAAGTGAATACTAGAATCCGTGTGGTTGTTTTAATCGAAATTATAGAATCAACATGTTTGTTGTTTGTTTTAAATTTTAATGGGTTCAATACTCTTTGGCATTGTTCTAAAAATCGGCCTAGGCGGCGCCTAGGCGCTAGGTGGTGCCCGGGCGCCTCCGATTTGTACAAATCGACAGAAAAAATCGATCAGGCGGCTAGGCGGGCCTAGGAGGCCCTAGGCGCTCCTAGGCGGCCTTGGCGTGCTCGGCGGCCAGGCGGTTAGGCGGCGTCTAGGCGGGCATAGGCGCTCCTAGACGGGCTCGGCGGCAATTTTTCAATTGTTTTTTAATTTTTTTTTTATTTTTTTAAATACTAATTACATTATTTTGTTCTCATGTTTTCTTTAATATATATTAATATTATTATTTGGACTTTGGTGTGTGAATTTATTATATGTTGAGATAATTTTATTTTGTAGGTAGTTAAAATAAATAAAAAATAAGGTATTTACTATTGATTTCTGGGCCCCGACTAGGCGCTCTAGGCGCTAGGCACTGGTCGAGCGCCTAGCGGGTGCCTAGCGACTTTTAGAACACTGCTCTTTGGTTTAGTTTATATATTTATCCCATTTTGTCTCGGTCCCTAGCCATTTTGTTCTGGTCCCGAATGATACTGGTTCATTTGAGACAGTGTCTCGTCCCGGACCGGTTCATAAAAGCGGTACTGGCACCGGGACAAGTCAAATGTAGGACCGTCCCGGACAACGTCCACCCCTATTTCTTCTAAATATTTTCTTCTTTTTTTTAGATCTCCGACTTGATATAAATTAATTTTTAAAAAAATATATATTCATTTAATTTCAGTCTTTTTATTATTATTAATATAATTGTCTAATAAAATTTGATTTTTAAATTACATTTCTCAAAAACTAGTTAATGCTCATCTATTCATATATTTCTATCTATCAATCATTTATATTTGTTATTTTTTTCATTTTGTACTACATCAATTTCACATTCTAAAAATATTTCACTCTTCCATCTGAAATGTTATTTCTACACTTTAATTAGTTTATCCATCCAAACAATTTTAGCAAAATGATCTATACACAGCGACACTTGAATGTTTCACTTAATCATCCATGATTTTTGGTTTTTTCTTATTCGGCTTTTGGATTGGGCGACAGAAAAAATAACTGCACCTGAATATGTTTTAGTGATTAGTTAAGAGTGATGCATTCATAACTAAAGGACTCCGTGGTCCAATGGATAAGACGCTGGTCTATGGGCCCAGAGACTCTGGGTTCGATCCCCAGCCGAGTCGCAGGAACAATTTCTTCTTGAAACTTTGAAATGCTAGTAGTAGTTTAGATTCTTTTTTGTTCGTTTTGTATTTTTTTTTTTTTTTTTTTNTTGTACGTCTATAATGATTTTGTGGAGTAATTAAAAAAATTATAAGCTGTCCAAAAATGCCATCAATGTTTTGGGAAAAAGGATGTGGATAAAAAGGATTATAAAAGCTACTCATGTAGAATGAGTTTGTTAAACTACTCCAGTCTCCAGCTGTTTACGGACACCTCGTGAAATCTCGAGCTTAGCTCATTCTTTGATTTAAATGAAACTAAGTTCGAACAACTAATCGAGCTCGCTTATTAAATGATCCGAGCTTATACGTTTTTAATTTTATTTTATATGAGTTTTAAATAAAATATTCAAATTGAACTTTGTTCGTAAATAAATATTTTATGTTTTTCAATAGCTCACGTAAGATTTTAGTCTTACACGATCTTTAACCTGAGCCAGCCAGGCTTGGATAACGCCTCTTAGTCTAAAATATATAACACAAATTTGACATTTACGTGGATACAGAATTTGAAATTCCTCATGTTTTTATATAATTTTGCCAGCCTTTTGTATCTTTATTTATATTTTATAAACTCAGTTAGTCTTTATTTTAAAACTAGTCCTTGCACTCGCCTGATATTTCAAATTGCTACAAAATTGCTCACCTGAAATTTAAATTCCTCTTTTTGGAGGAATTATTGGTGCTACAGAGTAACAAGAAAAAATGGATACGTGTTTTCCTCTTCAGGAAAACATTTGATTAGATCCACAGCACTGAACGATACACAAATAGTGTTATGTTTAATGATTTAATGGGCCCTATCACATATGCTTCCGTGTGAGGCCCATACTTTGATCTTTTTCCGATGGTATGGGCGGAAGATCTTTGTCTGTGGCCCAGTGGATTAATCTTTTTTACTTGGAGTGTGTTGCGTGTTGGGCCTCTATATCTTACGTAAGCCTGACGACATTGGTTGTTCGGTGCAATGATTTTAAAATTCTTAATACATCTGTAGGGATGGATCCAATGAGTCCACCTTTTAAAATGTGGACGTGAGACTTAATCTTAGCCACTCATTTTGTCTAGATCAAGAATTTACGTTAATCAATTAAAATATACATTAATTAAATAATAAAAATAATTAGTAGTTGACTCCGGCGTTGATTATTGACTTCCAGTGAGAATCGTTGACTTCCGCCGTTGACTCGTTGACCTTAATATGCATCATGTATGAAAGAATAATTAAAGACATCTAACCTAGCAACTAGACATAACTAACCTAGCAACTAGAGATAACTAACCTAGCAACAAGATAGAAATAACCTAGCAACAACAGACAACTAACCTAGCAACTAGACATAACTAACCTAGCAACATAAGACAACTTATCTAGCAACTAGACACAACTAACCTAGCAAGAACTAATAATTAACCTAGCAACTACATACAACTAACCTAGCAACTACAGAGAACTAACCTAGCAACTACAGTGAACTAACATAGTTGGAAGGTTAGTTGTCAACGGTCAACGTCGGAGTCAACGCCGGAAGTCAACGGTCAACGCGGGAAGTCAACGATCAACGTCGGAGTCAACGGGTCAAAATAATAATTAAAATAATAAAAAGAAAAGAGTAAAATCTTGGCCACACATGATGTACCAAATCTTGTGGCTAAAAATGAGTCTCACGTCCTCACTTTAAATAAGTGGATGCATTGGAATCAATCCCTATATATATATATATATATATATATATATATATATATATATAATACCATTTACCAAAAATAATAGCAAAACAATAGGTAAGAATTTAATGCTGCCTATAAATAGTAAGTTTTATTATTTTTCTTATTTATTTATGTAAAAATTATACAACATTAAATGTTACCTTAAATTTTGGGTTTTAGTTCATTTTATTATTTAAAAAATCCGGCTAAGATTTATTAAGTTTGTCTGTTTTTATTTTAATTTTTTTCTTACAAACAACGAACCATATTAAAATCTCGGTCTCTATATTTATAAAATCTCAATTCAAAATATAACAAAAGTTTTAGAATCTCGGTCTTTATAATTGTGCCTTTAAAAAAATATTCTTTAAATTGCTAATCAATCAATTAATCTTAATTATTTGAAAATTACTATGTTATTTTTGTATTAATATGCATAAATTACAAATAATTAATTCATCTTTAAATATATAATTTATAATCTTAATATACT